TTACACATACTGAGTTTTGTTTAATATACCTATAATGATTATTCTCATTTAACTAGTTCCCAAATGTATTCAAAACTGAATTAGTTTTTATATGAAATTTAATACATATAAGAAATTAGATTAATAGATTATAAATATATAAATTTAAAATCAAAATAATTTGAAAATGTTTGTTATTTCGAATACTTTTATTCCAAATTTAGATGCTTATAAATAATATTTTGGATTTACAACTAACTTATTTCTTATTAACTCTAATAACAATTTATTAGGAATCTTGTATTCAATTTTCAACTATTCTGACCTAGTCTAAAATTTTCTATCGAATTTTTTATCTTTACATACACCATAAAAAGAATAAAATGTTTGTACATTTTCATCATGTATGGAAATTGTCTTATAAACAATAAACATTTAGTAAAAATTGAAAATACCTATTTACGCTTATTATTTATTAGATTTTGAGTTACACATAAAAACTGAAATGATTTTGTCGAAAATTGGATGGATTTGTATAAAAATTGCAATTTTCTAAACTTTTTGTTCAATTTCTCCCAACCTTTTTGAAATTTATTACGAATTTTTAGATTCTGAACGAAACTCTTAATAAAAAGAAAGTTTTTAAATATATACATATATATATCAGATTGTTTAAGAAAATATAATGATTAAAATCATTATGTATTTAGTTTATGATTCTGATTCAACTCTCAAGCATGAACTATTAGCAATTGCTTAAATCTGTAATCAATCATTAGCGTATACACCAAACTAGATCTTTCTATTGGTTGAAATATTGGGTCCGAGTCCTCTCCCCTCCAAAAAAAATAGACAGCATTTTAATGAGTGAGATTTATTAATTAAAATAAATAAATAAAATTCTATTTTTATTAAAAAGTTCAAATTATCAAATGAAATGATAAATGACAAAATGTAATATAAGAATTTTATTAAATTCTGCGACTAAGTAATATATTTTCGTGGCCCCACAGACGTAATTTCAATAAAAAAAACTAAGGGTGCTTATGCTATGCATTTTGTCATTTTTTTTTTTTTTGAAAGAAGAAGTTTTTGTCGTTTTTGATACACAAGCACGATCCTTATTTGAGGGTGCTAATTTTAAAATTGGGGGTGTTTATACTCCCTAATCCCCTCCTATTTGCGCCTATGCGTGACCCACTATTTGGGAAACGTTGTAAGTAAAGCATATAGAAGCATAAAAAAATATGATGCATGTTTTTTACATCGATTTAAGATTTTATTTATTGCAGTTGACTCGCGATATAAACAATTTCAAGGGACCAAGCAAAAAGTTCGATACTTCGGAAGTTCGTTACATCGAAAGCATAAATCAACAAAATTCGTTTAAACGAGACTTAAAATAAAATTCAAAATTTAGATTTCATTAGATTATTATAAATACATACACATACGTAGATACCAAGTATTATTACAATTTTATTAAATACATACATAGGTATTGCATGCATACATAAGTTATTATTTATTAAAAAGTGTTTTTTGTTTATTACGTACATAATATCTATATTCATTTTTTTTTWAATCAGTGGTTTTTTTATTTGTGTCAAGCAATTTGCGCTTTCGTGGTAAATAGTCTTGTCCAAATTAAAAATATTACAAAACACACGGTCKTCTATTATCTAAGTAAGCTAAAGATTCAGAAACAATTTCCCTTGAATATAAAACTTTATATTTTTAAATTATTATCCCTTGGTTTAGAGGTTGAAGTTTGGAAGTTATGGACAATAACATGTTATTGTAGTTATGACAGTGCAATAATCAACGAACGATATCTTTGTTGGTTTTGCATGTCATTGTTGAGATGATTATCTATATTTAACAGACGTGTATCTCATAAACAACAACATAAATATTATCTTATCGCATAAAAATAGCCAAAACTAACTCGTAAAATTCGTAATATTAATCTCCAAAACTGTAAAAATTCGCAAGAGCAAGAGCTTTGACCAAAAAACTTCGTTATTTAGAGGGAATAAATGAATAAATTTACATTTAATATTTCTTTACATCATGAGATTTTCAAACGAATAACAGTTTTATTCGTTATATCGAACTTCGTTATACCACGAGCAGGCCCGTAGCTATGTTTGGGGGGGGGAGGTTAGGAGTCGTTTCCCTCACTAAACCTAAACGTTGGCCTTTCTAAAAATATTAAAAATTAGAAGTTATAATATTTTTATACCTACATAATGCCTCCTTAAAATTTGGTCTGGCTACGGGCCTGACGCCTGACCACGAGTTTATAGTGTTAGTAATTTTTTTTTAAATATATCCAATTGCTGTAAAATTTAAACTTCAAATGACTTTAAGATAAAGTAGAGTAGGTACGTATATATTTATGATATTTTTTAATTTCTGTAAGAACTACTTATGACTTTATGAGGTTAGGTTAGATTAAGATTTCTTACCAACAAAAACTGCAATTTTCATCAACATTACATTTTGTAAATATTTGTCWGTAATTTGTTTAAATAAATGTATTCAAGTTTATATTGATGCAAGATAAATAAAAATTTWATGAAATGGGCGCAAAATAATATTGATATTTTAATATRTAAATTGTAAATATTATAACTTAATATAAAAGTTGACAAGGTAATTCCGTTGATAGAAACTTTTTCTTGTGTATTGATGGTCAATGATGAGAACATTTTTTGTATTTTATGATTTAATCATTTTAATCAATTGTATTTACAATTTTACACACCTAAAGTATTTGTGAAATGTTACAATGCAATGAGAGAGATAAATATTATATCCATATATTATATTTTGCATTAATTCTGGAGGTTTCATTTTATGTCTTATTGTAGGTACTATAATACCACTTGTTACAAGTGGTCGTAAGAATTGTAACAAAATTTCACACTTTTATMCTATTACACGATCCTATAATTCAAAATGTTGATAATATTTATAATATTTTATCAGGTATATATTACATATTATTATAGGTATTTGTTATATGGCCGTTGTAGTATTATAGGTACATTATTACCTTTATGACTACATAATATATAACTATATAATACATAATAGTATAATACTATATACACATTGCTACATTAGTAAATGATATTTGTATATTGAATATTAATTATAGTCAGTAAAACAAAAAGTTAA